GAATAAGTTACGGTAATTTCATTGTGGTAAGACACCGGTACCGGCACCAGTACCAGTATCGTACTTACGTACTGAGCTACCAGTACCGGTTATCAGTCAGCCAGCATCTTACCTGTACACTGTAGGCCATATACGGTACAGTAATTGATCACAGAACAGTTGTTCCCTTGCAAATTTTATGTTGTTTACACTTTAGGACAGATAATTGATCACAGAACAATTCTTCCCTTTCAAATTTTATGTTGTTTCCAGTAGACTCTCATCAAAATAAACAAATATAGTAGGCTACAAGTGCTACAACGCTTGCATTTCTGCACTGGTAGGACCGTGAAAGAATAAGTTACGGTAATTTCATTGTCGTAAGACACCGGTACCGGCACCAGTACCAGTATCGTACTTACGTACTGAGCTACCAGTACCGGTACCGAACCTGTAGGTCTGATATTCCGTTCCGCATACGATAGGCTATAAAACTTGCATTGCAGCATTAGTAATATCGCGGAAGGAATAAGTCAATTTCACTGCGTTACGGTACCTGTATGGCAACTTACCAGTACCGACCTACAGTAGCTGTAGTACTGAGCAAGACAATCGATCGCGAAACCGCTTGAAATAAGTGTAAAACAGTGTTCCCATGAGTAAAAATAAATACCGCGAAATTGTGTATGAAATATCATATCTCATAGGATTCATATAAAATTTGAGAATAAACAAAAGTAATAGCCTTCTAGCGAAAAAATTAATCTTTAACCACTGAAAATTTCAAAGCAATTGGTCCAGTATTCGAAGAGAAAAGCGACTTTTTAAAAACGTGTCAAAGAACAAGAACAACAACAACAACAACATAATATTGAAACGATCGTTATGTCCACTACGTGTCCAACAAGAGAGCTATGCTCAAATATATGGACACGTAGAGTCACATAATTTTGATGACGTCATAGCGAAAAAAGAAGTAATAGCCTTCTGGAGAAAATTTTTATCTTTAACCACTAAAAATTTCAAAGCAATTGGTCCAGTATTCGAAGGGAAAAGCGACTTTTTAAAAACGTGTCAAGCGGTACTGAGTTAGCAGTCAGGCAGCATCTTACCTGTACACTGTAGGCCATATACGGTAATTGATCACAGAACAGTTGTTCCCTTGCAAATTTTATGTTGTTTACACTTTAGGACAGATAATTGATCACAGAACAATTCTTCCCTTTCAAATTTTATGTTGTTTCCAGTAGACTCTCATCAAAATAAACAAATATAGTAGGCTACAAGTGCTACAACGCTTGCATTACTGCACTGGTAGGACCGTGAAAGAATAAGTTACGGTAATTTCATTGTGGTAAGACACCGGTACCGGCACCAGTACCAGTATCGTACTTACGTACTGAGCTACCAGTACCGGTTAGCAGTCAGCCAGCATCTTACCTGTACACTGTAGGCCATATACGGTAATTGATCACAGAACAGTTGTTCCCTTGCAAATTTTATGTTATTTACACTTTAGGACAGATAATTGATCACAGAACAATTCTTCCCTTTCAAATTTTATGTTGTTTCCAGTAGACTCTCATCAAAATAAACAAATATAGTAGGCTACAAGTGCTACAACGCTTGCATTACTGCACTGGTAGGACCGTGAAAGAATAAGTTACGGTAATTTCATTGTGGTAAGACACCGGTACCGGCACCAGTACCAGTATCGTACTTACGTACTGAGCTACCAGTACCGGTTAGCAGTCAGCCAGCATCTTACCTGTACACTGTAGGCCATATACGGTAATTGATCACAGAACAGTTGTTCCCTTGCAAATTTTATGTTATTTACACTTTAGGACAGATAATTGATCACAGAACAATTCTTCCCTTTCAAATTTTATGTTGTTTCCAGTAGACTCTCATCAAAATAAACAAATATAGTAGGCTACAAGTGCTACAACGCTTGCATTACTGCACTGGTAGGACCGTGAAAGAATAAGTTACGGTAATTTCATTGTGGTAAGACACCGGTACCGGCACCAGTACCAGTATCGTACTTACGTACTGAGCTACCAGTACCGGTACCGAACCTGTAGGTCTGATATTCCGTTCCGCATACGATAGGCTATAAAACTTGCATTGCAGCATTAGTAATACCGCGGAAGGAATAAGTCAATTTCACTGCGTTACGGCACCGGTATGGCAACTTACCAGTACCGACCTACAGTAGCTGTAGTACTGAGCAAGACAATCGATCGCGAAACCGCTTGAAATAAGTGTAAAACAGTGTTCCCATGAGTAAAAATAAATACCGCGAAATTTTGTATGAAATATCATATCTCATAGGATTCATATAAAATTTAAGAATAAACAAAAGTAATAGCCTTCTAGCGAAAAAATTAATCTTCAACCACTGAAAATTTCAAAGCAATTGGTCCAGTATTCGAAGAGAAAAGCGACTTTTTAAAAACGTGTCAAAGAACAAGAACAACAACAAGAACAACAAGAACAACAACAACATAATATTGAAACGATCGTTATGTCCACTACGTGTCCAACAACAACATAATATTGAAACGATCGTTATGTCCACTACGTGTCCAACAATCGCATAGAACCTTCCAACGACAAACGTTGCCAAATACGGTGACGGTACATTTGAACCCACGTACATTTGAACCCATGCGTATATCCGCGGGTTCAATCTATATGCGGGTGCTAAAACCCATGGGTTAGGTTGAGTATGGGTTCAAATATCCGTTAAACAAAAAACAACTCATAAGTGCGATAGTATGCAGGTGCGATTGTCATGGGTTCAAATGTACGTGGGTTCAAATGTAATGGAACCGCCAAATACAGGTTCACGGTAGCGCTACACTGTCGCCATATTGATTACTCTCCTTACTTGACGTGATGTCTCCTCATGTCACGTACGGATTTTTTTTAAATTATGATGAAAAAGCATAGCAGAATGCTCAATTCAGGCAAGATGTCGAGCGAGCTTGATAGCTCTTAAATTGGTACTCCTGTAGTATGTGAACTAAGATGGCGGACATCGGAACATAGTATGTGTACCCGGTTAGTGTTAGGCCATAATTTGATTCCAATTTTCCTTATTTTAATTCTATTACGAGTTCAGGGACTAGCCAAGTCACTCCCGTAGTATTTGTACCTAAAATTATGGCCTAACCCTAACATGGTACACATACTACGTTCCATCTCGGTTCGCATACTGCAGGAGTACCCTAAAACTGCCAGGTAAACTGAATTGCGATGGTTCGAGAGCTGCGATTCAAGATGCGTAAAAGTTAAAACCTTTGTAGCGTATTGTTAAGCCCAAGGAAAGTTCTTGCATTGCACTGCTAATCGAATTCCGTGATTACTGAAATTCTCGCAATGTGAGGTTAATTCATAGCAGTCTGTTATAGATTTTACGTAGTCTTCTAATGGTGGGCATCCAAATACCTTCTCAATGTCGGTTATCTCGTGCTTTGAAAGCAAAGCAGTGGCACCAATCATTTAAATATGTCGTAGATTATTTAAAAAACCTGAATAACGAGCGCAAAAAATATACAAAAGCGAAAAAATTTACATTTCGTGAAAGATCGAACAGTCTTGTAAAAAAAGTGTAAATGTATACTTTGAAGTAAGCTTCCTTAAAATGCACCAGTATTTAGAAGCGTTTGGTCTATTAGCTAATGAGAATCATAATTTTTGGTCCACAACAACAATTCATCTGTCTGTATATTTACATGTTTAATCTTTTGGTAAAAAGTTTTAGATAAACTTGTCTTGTTTCAAAAAAACTTCATCCTAAGTCAAAATGATGAATAAAATCTTGGTACTGACTCTGATGTTGGCTGTTGCTTCATTGATGATACTCAACGTAGAGGCAGGTGAGTTTAAATACAAATGAGAGCGATACTCAAACGTTTATTTTTGAACATTGTGCCTTAGTTGTAAAAATCAGCCATTTATTAAAAACGGTTCCATTACATTTGAACCCACGTACATTTGAACCCACGACAATTGCCCCTGCATACAATTGCAAATATGAAAATTTCTTTTTTTACGGATATTTGAACCCATACTAACCCTAACCCATGGATTTTAGCACCCGCATATAGATTGAACCCGCGGATATAGAGGTGCAAATGTACTGGTTCAAATGTACGGTCACCATTAAAAACTAATTCGCTCAAGTCGATATAGAAGAAATGATCGTCTAGAAATGAATTTGGTACAGAAAAGACTCATTGTTCAACTACGTGCTTATTGCTATTCAGCAGAGAGGTAGAGTCGCAGTTGTATTTCAAATTGCTCGGCATAGAGACAGAGCTCTAGCCTAGTGAAAACCTTATACGTAGCCGAACAGTCGAAGCATGATTTCCCAATTGCAACAGAAATGACTTCTTACCAAATTGCGTCACCCCGGATACGCGAGCATAGTGTTGGACTAATAAATGGGCGCTCCCGAAGTATGTGCACCAAGATGGCGCACAACCTGAATCCTAACCTGGTACACATACTATGTTCAGGTTGTGCGCCATCTTGGTGCACATACTTCTGGAGGTCCAATAAATGTTTGGAACCCGGAATCGAATTTCAATTTGTCGATTCTATAGGCTTTTCAGACTGAGAACTTCTTGCTCGACGTAAGCCATCATCAAACGAAAATGACGTAAAGCCAAGGAATTGCAAAGCGACCTCTTACAGCCTAAGATATTCAATTCATTATTTCCATGTATGCATGATGAAACGAGACTTGAAGTCAGTACTGTTAAAACCTGGTTAAACAAATATTAGTTGACTTGGATTATGAAGCCACACTTTATAATACCATGTATATTCTAATAGACATTTCCTAAAATTTAAACTTATTCTATTCGATTACCTTTAGGATGCGAGACGTCGTGTCTGCTCCGTCGGATATGCAACTTCGACGGATGTTCGTGAGTTATCGTAGACCCAGTGAAGTTTGCGTTAGATCAATATGCGAAGTAAGCGCCGTCTATTTCATTTTGCGCAAATTATTTCGTCAATGGTATTGTCGGGCTCTATTTTAGTGTAATATAATAATGGTGCC